AGCGTCAGGGCTTAATTTCGCATCTTCATGCTCAAATACCCAGGCCTTAGTGCGAGGAATATCAATGACACCATCGACAATAGTATGCGAGACATGCAAACCCTGCGGCCCAAACTCACGAGCAAGTGACTGCGCTAACGCACGCAGTGCGAACTTGCTCGAAGCAAAAGCAGCAAACTTAGCCGAACCCTTGATACTAGCAGTAGCTCCGGTGAAAATCAGAGTGGGCGGATACTCCGACGATTCGCGAGCTTCTAGGAGCAACGGAATAGCCCGTTGGGCAAAGTTGAAGGCGCCCTGTCTGATATAGGAGTTAACAATTTAGCAAAATCCTTAAGAATGATGCGGACTAAATTAAAATTGGACCCAAGTTGATCAGAGGGGCATAAGAGACAGCAAATACGTACGCCTGTGACTTGAGTGCATTCGAGTAATCTTCTTCCTTCAGCTCGAGGAATGGCTTGACCACAAAGCCACCACCTGGATTGAAAACAGCAGCAGCTACCTTAGAGGAAGGATACTCTGCTTGAATCTTGTCAAATGCGGCATTGACGCTCTTCGAGTCGGATACATCGGTGCTGATGCCGATGGCCTGGCCGCCGCTGGAATTAATTTCTTGAACAACTGGGTTGTAGTTGTCTGAGTTTCGAGCCAGCACAACAACAGAGTAAGACTTTGCAAATTTCCTGGCGATTGAGGCGCCCTGTTTCTTTCGTCAGCCAATCCTGCCTTAGAGTCAGAGGGGAAGATATAGACCGTACTGTACCGGGGCCAACGCCAGCAATGATCGCGAGTGCCTTGGAAGCCATATTTGATTTGAGAAGTATATGAATATATTCTTTTGTAAGTCTGGAAGAAATAAGGGAACCTAAACAACTAAATAATGTCAGTCGGCCCGGAAGATATCACCGAAGCTTAGAAATGCAGCGGGGATTGATCATCACATCCGCAGATGATATCATCTGCAGAGAACGGGACTGGTGTATCCCCGCAAAGATAACATCCAAGGTGAAATTAGACCATTATTAGATGAATAATCGAGTTGGCTCATTCCGAGATCTACCTAGCCCTGGAGCCTGGAGAAACTCAACTTGTTCGTGAAATGTGACTGGTAGGTATAGTTCGTTCCGGATCTCAGCCTCAGGCCGTTATCGATAAGACAAATAAATTTCCCATCGAATCTCCGACTCTCCAACTCCGCATCAAACAATCAAACCAAGATGGCCGACTCAGATCCCTTGCTGAGTGATCTCTGCTCCATATGGTATGTCATTGAAAAATCGTATACTCCGGTGTACTTTTGAATCTAACCCGTGTCCGTACAGCCATGCCAATCCTCCCAAATACCGCTGTCCACGCTGCTCAACACGCACCTGCTCTCTACCCTGCACACGTCGCCATAAACTCTGGTCGCAGTGCTCTGGCGTTCGCGATCCAGCCGCATATCTAAAGCGCAATGAATTAAACACTGAATCTGCGTTCGACCGCGACTTTAATTTCATCACCGGCATTGAGCGCACCCTGGAGCGTGCGGAGAGAGAAGTCGATAACCGCGGCATTGATCTTGCGGGCGGTGCTCAGGCAGATGATGGAAGTTCTGAAGGTTTACAGCATCCGGCTGCCGGCCGTAAAAGGAAGCACCCGAACCAGGGCCTTGCCAAGGGCGAGGCTGCGTTCTTGCGCGGCGTCGAGACTGCTGCTGTAAAAGTTCTTCGAGCTCCCAAGGGAATGTCGAGAAATAAGCAGAATGGGTCGCGTTTGCATCCCAAGTGAGTTGGGAATTTCTCGTGTTTTTTTGAGTCGGACGTTATACTGACTTTGGTGTTTCTCAAGGCATAAGCGTCTTGCTTGGACCATAGAGTGGATTACGGCTGATGGAGTGAAGACAATTCGTGATTCTGTCATTGATACATGCTCTGTTGCTGAAGCCTATAACCGATGCTGCCCACGCCCTAGTAATCAAGAGACAGCCATCGAACCAGTCAAAGAAGAGAAGAAAGAAGATTTGGATACCCCTAATACGACTACCGCTACACCTGGTGATCCTGCCACGACAGTGGCTGAAGAGGCAGATAAAAAATCACCCCCATCCACGACCAAAGACTCAGAAAAGGAACCAGCAGACGCCTCAACTGAGCAAATGGATAAAGCACCAAATCAGACCATCGCCCCTCACCGCGGCCTTTACTTCTACCTTCACCGTCCGCGAACCACAACCAAAAAGCCCGTCTTAACTCCTCTCTTGCAAACCTCAACGCTCAACACTGTTTTGCGCAATCGGACTGTCCTAGAATTCCCTACGATTTATGCGCTGCCAGAGTCAGCGGAGACACTCTTTGCAAACAAGGATAACTCCAAATTCATACTAGAGGAAGATTACCTTCGCACCGCTGAGCCAGATGAGATAGGCCAGTCTTCTACCCCGAGTGACGATGTTGACGCGGCTGGAAACGAAGCGCTCCCCGGTTCTTCGGTGAATCTTCAAGATGTCGACGAGAACCTGGTATTGGAGGTATTGAAGAAAGACCTATTTGAACCAGCCCTGGAGACTGAACCAGCGGTATGAATGATTCTGATACGAAGAGAGAGATACCAGAAGATGTTAGCCAATTTGGCACATTCACCAGACAATGTACGATACCTAGGGTACAGCTAATTATCAGTTGATTGTATAAAGAGTCATTCACTTGGAAGAAACATCAGGCTTAGATTCTGGCGTATTTACTGAAAACCACACCGATCTTGTTGGCCGTGATATTTCCACTTAAAGAGGAAACCACGACCAGCGCGGCTTCCTGTCGAGTCCAACAAAGACCTTTCGGGTTCTTTACTTCACCTAGGACCATCTTTGGAATATTAGATCCTCCAAGGTTGTTACTGGCACCATGAGAATCAACGTTTTTTCCTTCGGGATCACCGTGATCTATCTTGGCACGGTAGCATCAACATTATCAGTTCCCAGAGCACCCCCGCCGCTACCGGCCAAGAAACGTCCAAATGGATGCGATTGCTACACAATCTCCGGGCCCGATCCAGGATACTTTCAGCACTACAAGTTCTGGGACTTTCAGGCAGTAGATTTGAATAAACATGCCAATCTCAATCTGTCAGAGCCCATTGATTATGGCGACGAGGACTGGGATGACGACAATGATGGCGACGACCAAGAACTGCAAAATGGTCATCTCTCACCTGGAGTCCATGATGAAAAGGACACGGACCCTAGATCACTGGCATTCTACAAAACCTCCTTCGAGAGAGACTGGAGCAGTCAGAACTGGGAACGCCGAGGCACCCCTACAGCCCCGGTGCTCATGATAAATTCGAAGCACAATGTCTTTCTTACCCGGGATCACGAGCGAAATGATACTTATGCGACGTATCTTGTTCTGCGCACCACCCGCTTTTCAGAATACACTTCCACCGCAGAGATCGAGACTCGCATACGCGACATCTACCGGTGCTCGGTGCGTGTCCGGCTGCGTGTATTGCCAGCTGGCTCCGTCGTATCAGAACCTCCTCAGCGTGAAGAATGGCCCCCGCGGGATCCAAAACGACATCCCACCGTGCCCTTGAACAAGACGGTTCCAACTCTCCGTGATGGAAGACCTCCTGAAGGTGCTTGTGCAGGCATCTTCACCTACCATGACCAAACCTGTGAATCAGACATCGAGATTTTGACGCGGGACCCGGCCCATCGCGTGCACTATGCTAATCAGCCCGACTATAATTTTACCGCTGATCATGAAATCCCCGGTGCCAGTACCATTGCCGATATACCTGTTCCATGGACAACGTGGTCCACGCATCGCCTGGACTGGCTGTCAGACATGTCACGGTGGTATGTCAACAATCAGATACAGGATGCCAAATCGTATAGGGTTCCTGACTTGGAGAGCATGATAATTCTCAATCTTTGGAGTGACGGTGGACTCTGGACGGGCGACATGAGAATCGGCGACAGTATATACTTGGGCATCGAATACATTGAGCTGATCTACAACCGTTCCTCTGATGCTCTCACGGGACCTTACGTGTCTCTTTCGCAGGACCATGGCGGCCATCAAAGGGCCCCTCTCACAGATGGTTCCCTTGGAAATGGGAATCCATTGGAGCCAGATATGAAGCAGAAGCACGAAAAGTGCAAGCCAGGTAGGCAGGGCCGCGAGTGCAGAAGAAAGAAGTGGAGGAACAGGCCTCTTCGTGAATCTTGTCAGAGACCGTGCAACATTGATGAGCTTTAGGGGCTTTTCTGGCAGACTTTTGTATTATTATCAATTTCAGTCCTTTGTTTTTTGTTTAGGACTTTTCGCTTTGGCTGGCATGGGCGTTCTATATTCTACTTTTTGGACAGAATGGATGTTTTATGAGAGAAAATACATGGATGCCAACCGGTTGCGCATCTTTAATGGACTTACTAGTATTATGTCTACAGTTTAATCCTCTCTGGCCAGGACGATACTAACACGTTAGGGCTAGATATTAATTATTACTTGCTTTTAGTCCCGAGGTCAGATGAAAGAGCCAACACAATAGAAATACATGACTCTACAAGTGACAGAGAAACCTGATACTATTCAAGATAAAACAGCACGAAAGAAAAGCAGGTGAACGAGGAAAATAAAGAAATAGGATAAAAATTAGTCCACGAGAAGGGGCTTCTTTGTATCAACTGAGTCACCATAATGGTGGTGACCGTGGGGTATCATTCAGATTCATTGCAAACATCACATAGAAAGAGCGCGCCCCAAAAAATTCATTGTCCTTTTTTTTTTTCATCTTTCCCGTGTGTTCGCCTTGTGCGCCGAAATAGCAGATAATGTGTAATGGTAACCGAGAACGCCTTGGTGATGGTGCTTGATATGGATAACTGTGGGTTGGGGATGGATGAGGTATGTGAGATTATGTAGGAGGTGAGGGTGAAAAAGACCCCAAACTGAACGTATGGGATCGACAAAAAAGGCGATACTTCTGTAGCGCTAGATAACTGGTCTTTGTGTTTAGAGAAACACTGAACCTGTTGCTTTGTCCTGTGGATTGAACTCGCCGTGAAGACCACCGTTCATGAGCTCAGCAACAATCTTTCTGCGGAGAAGTGTGATATGACTTGGGCCAATGGCAGTTGGTTCAACCCCAATAGTAATTGCTTTGGCATTTGTTAGGAGGAAGACACCACAATCGCTCCCGTTGTCTTGCCGAGAAGAGACCGACGGTAGGACAGTCCACTCCTTATCATTATATTTTGGCCCGAGCTCCCCACGAAGCCATTGCTTAATATTCTTCACTTGGCGAGGCCCGCGGGATCCTAGGGAGTCGAAATACTCGATTGTTCGTTCTGCTGGTCGAATAACCATGAGGGTCCAATGGCTTGACTCATGTACAGGGATGAAGACTGTGTCGACATTAAGGAGTCCTTCGCCACCGATCTTGGCCCGCTTTGCCCAACGTTGCACGCCCTGGTATCCCTTATCGCGAAGGGTAGAGTAGAAAAATGTGTTGAAGGCGTGGAAGAGCGGCCGATCGCTAGGTCCGAGATTCCCATGCGATTGACGGAGGTAATGAACGAGTAAACCAAGGTAGGCATTGATAATTTCGTCGTTGAGCCAGGCCTCAGGGCGAATGCATGTGACGATATCCCGCTGGTAAAGGTCGTCTCCGGCTAATGATTTGGCAACGGAATTCCCTTGTCCACTCTGCATGGCGCGTTGAAGTTTGGCAAGCCACTCGGGCGAAATCAGACGTACGGGGTAACCCTGTGGGACCACTCTGGTGGGACGCTGGAGATCGCGCTCCCGGGCTAATCTTTCTCTCTCCCGCTTCTCGAATTCCGCCTCGTACCACGACGCAATGCGATTGGCGGGAATTGGCTTCCTGTTCGCGTAAAACAACTGTACAGCAGAAACGGGGCCATGGGGAATCTTTGCATCTAGTTGAGCTTGTTGATCCCACGGGTCATCAATGTCCATGAGGTCATCTTCGACGGGCTTGGGGGTTTTAGTTGGTCTTGGCGATGGAATGCGCCTAGCGCTTGGAGGGGGAGGGGTGTACGGCGGCATTCGAGGGTGGAGATGTATGCCGAGATCCGTAACAAGTGCTGGTGTTGTGCGAGCATCTATGTCCATGAATTCCCATCCCTTCGGTGGGACATCTTCCTCCTCGATAGTCGGGCCTTGTGATACAATGAGGGTGGGTGATTCAGGAGGAGTTAACGGGAAAGCTCCTGGGATGGGCAACTGAGAAGTATCTAAAATTGGGCTGCAGTTTAGCATATGTGACTTGAACTTCCAAGGAGGGGCTGCCATACCATCGGGGGCGTCAAATAGAAGCTTTGAGGGCTCAAAGGGAATGGGAATCTTGGGCGAGGACTCCGTGGGCTTCGCAAGAGAGGCGTTTCGCTTGCACCGAGGCCAGCGGAAGAACCCCATGTTGATGCAAAACGGAAAGTCACGTCGAAAGAGTGCGAGCAAGAAAGTCGAGAGCGATCTACTCGTCCGATGACGCGCTTTCAAGTAGATTGACGGTGGTTGAATGAACGTTGAGGGTGTGAAAAGGGAGGAGTGAACAGGTAGATGAAGACAAGACTTCAAGATCCATCATTGGGCATGATTGGAATATGTACCCCGAAGCCAGAAGCCAGAATCGAAGGCAGATACTCCGCAATGGAAGAGGTATGGGAATAATATGAGCCGACGCGGTGCACCGGGTTCTTTCATCATCCTGCTGACTCATCACATATTTTCCCACCCTCCATTGTTGTTGCGTTGACCTACATGGATCTACACAATGTCACTCTTTGTTGGCTTATCTTTTTTGATCTTTTTTGAGAGTTTCTTTGAATGTTATTCTCCAACTTCTGCTAGATATAGTTTTCTTTTACTCCGGTCTTATGTCCTTTAGTGTTTCATCTCATAATTATTTTATGGTGAACTCTATAAACAGCCATCACAATGCGACAACCTCGAAAAAAAAGTTGCGATTAGACATATTTACTTGATCGCTCTTTATTCTTGTTGTTTTTATTGTCTTCTATGTTATGATGTGGCTGGTCCCAACCTGTGTTTGAGCAGGTTGTCTGACCAGACCGAAAAATGAAGCTATGAATATTGTTTTCAATGCTTATGTACATGGGCAACGTGAAGGATATTTCTAAGGTGCCATGTTCCAGCACAGCCCGCTGAGCTAGGAGCAGGCCGGGGAGGTGGTGGAGCTAAGAAGAGAGGGACGGCAAGGCGAATTGCACTTCTAGCAAAACATTTCTCATACTCGTTATCGGGTTCCAAGCCCGATTAGGTCGAATAACAAGGGTGCGACTTCGATGACCACCCATGGAATACCTAAAGGAGCCTGATATCAGCAAATGTTGTGTCAAAATCCAGGGGTTTCACATACCCGCATATACAACCAATTTCGTTATTACCTCCACGTCGTACCGCACACGGGGCTTCTTGATCTGGGAAAACACTTCTTGTTCCTCCCTCTCCTCAGCCTCGAAATCCATCGAAGGGAAAGGTGTTGTCGACATGTCAGAATTCACATCCACTGCGGATGCACTGGGGCTGCCTCTTCCCATCATGCCTTCGTAATCATCCAGTGATGCCATCTTTCTCGGCCGCACGGGCGTTCCATTCGGCTTGATTTGATCCTCTGCGACTGGGGAAGGACGATTGCTCCCAGACTGACTCTCGCGTCGGCGCTTTTCCCGGTACGCCAAGGTCTCATACGCATCAGCTTCTGACTGAGGACCAATTGAAATGGCTCGGCGGCGAGGATGGCGCATTGTAGTAATGATGTCTGGGATGTCAGAGAAATTCGGAAGAACGTCGTGATCCTTTAGGTTATAGGGAATGGTAGTGTATTCACTAAGAACATATTAGCATAACTTCCACGAGCAGGAAGCACATTCAAACTTACGATGCGGCGGTGAAGAAACGTCGAGGAAGCAAAAGACCGAGCTTCTCCAGGGTCCGGAAGACAGGTGGTAGAATGCGCAACAGAGCGGGCTTGGTTACAGTTCTCCAAGCAAACACACACAGAACACCCACGACCAGACGAACGACAGTCTTAACGCTGCCCATAGTCTCGAAATCGTAGGGAATTGATCCAGAAGGATAACCGACCCAGATATCAGCGAAGTGCCACGAAGACACATCCACGCCTAGCATAACTCCTGCGAATGCAACACTATCGTCGAAGCACGGGCAATCATCCGCCGGCTCTGGATGGACGCGGACGAGAAATATAATAAGAAGCCCCAGCAGGGAAATTTCCATCAAAGAAGCGGATAAAATGAATTCCTCAAAGGCAGGCCCATAATAAAATTGCACGAGGCCGATGGCCGCACCCATAGCACACCCAACAGTACAGTCCAGCATCCCATGCATTCCGCAATACAGTCGGCCCAATACAATGGACACGACGTAGATATAGGTGATAGCTTGGAGTAAGAGGGTGACCTGCGCGCTGAGAGTTGATTCAGGCGAACCAAGCAGGGCCAAAGCATAGACCGCCACCGAGACGGCATTGGTTGAGTGTGTGGAAGGGAACCCATATTCCAGTGCCGCAGAACCGGACATGGTGATTCGCTGGAGTGGGGGAGAGAGAGGCCGAGGAAGACACAGCAGATCCTTGAGGAAGCCGCTCCAAAAGACGCCCGATGCTAAGATGTGTACCAATCTATAGATGATCGTCGTCAGCTGCAGAATTACACCTGCGATTTCAATTCCAAACATAAAACGTACCCACGACCCATACTGGGAGAACCACACCAGAAGAGGAAGGGCAAGAAGACCATGAAGAATGTATGGGTGCCGAGGTTGGCTGTGAATGCGAAATACGAGTCGAGGGTTGGCGTGCGGATTTTCTCCTGCACCCAAGCCAAATATGGCGTCTCATATCGGATCAATGGGATGAGCTTTTGTCGCGGCCAGTACCGCCAGAGGGGTAATCGATTTGAATCTATGTCGCAAGCGCATGACGGTTAGCGGATGTCGCAATAAGCCACGGGTAGACAAAGAAAGAAAGAAAGAAAGAAAGAAAGAAAGAAAGAAAGAAACTACTCGCATACAGTGATTCAGACTCTTCAGTCCAGCATCGGGCTGGTCCTTTTTGCTGCCCATGATGTAGTGTTATCGATCCAGATGGTGTCGTAATCGGATGGATCCCATAGATAAACAGGCCGCTGCCTGCCGGTCCGTTTGAAGGGTTTAGGGTTATAGGGGTTCAGAACATAAGGAGCGAAATGAAGTTGGATCGAAGTAAATGATATAATGGAGGTTGGGGATTATGCTCCGAAGTGGACGGGCGGATCATCCGCGGCTCAAACCCCTAATGCCCGGCCCGCGGACCATGTGTGTGTGTGCTTAGTCACTTTACGTAGGAGCCATCCATCTACAACATATACATCGTGGGCACTCGATTTTACTTCTCATTTATGTACATCTATACTCTACAGAGTAAACTATGTTGGATCTACACTGAGTTTTTGCTATGTAACTATGCCTATTATCGACTAGATACATGTAGATCTCAAGGTAGCCAATTACAACTACATGTGAAGTCGGATATTAACCTCATCTTATCTAGGCAGATTTCAAGTGATTGCCTTGATATCTTCATATAGTTTATGAACACTTCTATGTTAATTTTACCTGATGATGCTTATACATACCATCAGCTCTTAGCTTCTGTTGAAATAATCCCGTTTCTCTCCCCTTTCCAATATTGATATAGGATTGTAATCCTCTCATAGGAGAGAAAAAGATAAAGCCGAAAACTAAAGTTTCAAAAATGATAAATAGAGTAAGATATTATTGTCAACTCGTATCTTGGGGGCTGTTTTAGCACGGGGTATCGGTCTTCTCCGTCAAATAAAGAGGGTGAAAGATGACATGCAGGGTTAGCGTGGTCAAGGCCCATATAATTTTATATTCCATTTTGTTTTGGCTACACGATTTTATCACTTTTCTCTAGATCTAAGCTTTATACAAGATACAGTAGATGTAGGTTATTATAGCTTATACTAGAAAAGACAAAGTGAGGCATATCTCTGGAAAGATCTACAAATCACATGACCCCATCGGGTATACTGTATACAAAAAAAAAAAAAAAAAAAAACAGCTGTGCAGAGTGAGCTGAACGGTGGAGAACAAAAATATATTAGTGGGGTTGAGACCAAAACAGGATCGAGATAAACCAGTGAATGACAGGATCCAGGATATAGATGGCTTTGATCGTGGGAAGCGGAGCCCTGGCGTCATGGAGGCACGGCCGTTGCTATGGTAGCCCGGGTGTAAACACGGGTTTCACGGGTCTCACAGGTCTCGCCAGACCCTCTTGCTCTATCGATCCTCTAGATCTTTTTTAGATCTATCTTGTCCTCTTTTTCTTCACTCTTACCTCTCCCATTCCATATCATTTCATCCTATCAACAGTCTCCCAACAAAAAAACCCCCCCGTTTCCCCCTGTATCACATCACAAACGAGGCACATTCCAACCCCCTACCCCTACTCATCATGAGTGCTATGTACGAAGATCAATACTATGCAGCATCGCGCCGCCGCTCTCTCGCCACCCCTCCTCCATCTTTGACACCGCGTCACAGTCGTACGCGCAGCGACAGCGTCCGAGTCAGCCATGGCACAGCCAGCACCAATACCAGTGTCTCCAGTGGACGGATGTCTGAGGCAACAAATATCACTCAACCGCCCTCGTTCTCAAAAAAATTTGTAGTGGTGGGCGATGGCGGATGTGGCAAAACCTGTTTGTTGATCAGCTATTCCCAAGGTTATTTCCCAGAGGTACGTTCGGCCTGCGAGGAAAAGGCGTGTGCCTGGTGCTGATTATCGTCTAGAAATACGTCCCCACCGTGTTCGAGAACTATATCACCCAAACGACGCATCGGGCTTCTGGCAAGACCGTTGAATTAGCCCTCTGGGATACTGCTGGACAGGAGGAATATGACCGTTTGCGTCCACTGTCCTATCCCGAGACTGATCTTCTGTTTGTCTGCTTTGCTATCGATTGCCCCGCGTCATTGGAGAATGTTGTTGACAAGGTGAGTCCCAAATCTTAAAACCTCTCTATTTTTTTTTCCAGACTTGTCTAAAATCTCTCTGTTCAGTGGTATCCCGAGGTTCTGCACTTCTGTCCCACCACACCCATTATTCTCGTTGGCTTGAAGTCCGACTTGCGAAATAAGCGAACCTGTATTGAACTCCTCAAGACACAAGGCCTGACACCTATCACACCAGAGCAAGGCGAAAATGTCGCCCAACGGATGGGAGCAACATACGCCGAATGCAGTAGTAAGGAGATGCGCGGTGTGGATGAAGTCTTCGCCAAGGCCGTTGACTCGGCTATCTCAATCGAAGAACAAGGCTGGACAGCTCAGCAACCGGCCGGCCGCAATAACCGCAACAATCGCGC